TTTGTTGTTCAAGTTTACGCTAATAAAAATAAAATAAGAACAATCTTGAGTTCATTTGATAGAAATCATTAAATAAATATTTCAAAAACAAACTTACATTTTGTCCACTTGTACCTTGAAAATGAGATAATTGTTTAATTTCATTACTTGTATCTTTTACTAATTCACGCGTTTTTTCAGTTAATGTATGTCTATATAAAGAGTAGATTAGTGACAGTATTTAACTTCAGCAAACGTAAAATTTAAAGACTGCACAACTTACAATTTCGTTCTTACTTCTGGTGTATCCTTTGTTGTTCCTAGATACGAAACAAGCCTATGTATATTGGCCACATTACTCGTAATATTAAAAACCTGTTGGGATATACTTTTGCTTAGGGTCTTATACCGCGTATCTTCGTCTAAAGAGTGGGGGAGGGAGGGAACAAGAAAATAATTTGAATAAACTCTTTTATCATTTCAGCGTAGCTTTTCTATCCAGAAAGCTTAAAACCCTGGACCAAAAAAAAAAAAAAGTAGTCTTTAAATGGTGGACCGAGAATTCAAAGTTCATAAACAAAATTGATATCACATACTTACCACCTGAAGTTGAGATCGAAACTCCACCATAAAATCTTCCATTTCGACTGCTGGAGCCAGATCCAATGCCTCTTTCCAAATCGTTAAAGGACATGTTTTGTTCTTGAACTTGGACAAAAATAAAATTTGAATTTAAGGAATGTTGGGATAAAGGACCTTTATTAAGTTAAGAAACAAAGAAAAATCGGAAAATAATCAGTTAGGAACTGTTTCGTTTATAATAAAAAAAGATTCGGAACAATATATTTTTATTGATGGCGTTTTGATGTGGCCAAATGTTTCACAAGATTGAATCGCACGAATTTCGTTAGGGAAAATCAATTGGAAGATCTGGCGGTTATTCATCATTAAATCATTAAAGAAGATAATTCGAAATAGTTTAGTAAAAATTTATTAAAGGTAAAAAGATTATCTGCAATTTTTAAATTGTTTTTATCTTTGATCCCTTTAGCCCTAATGTGTTCATATTTATTTTATGTTGAACTTGGTTAT